CAACCATGTGTCCACAGTTGAGGCAGCTGTAGACCATGCCTTGGGGGTGAGGTGGGGTGGGATGGCTAAGGCAAAGGATAGAAAAGCCATTTTCCAAGTTCTAACACTATACTATAGGAGTTCACTCAATTTATTTAGGACAATAAAATGAAAGCAGAGAGGATATATGGCTTGTCAAAATTCCAAGATAAAAATCACAACCCAGATCTTGTTTTAATTTGTTAGAATTCAATAAATACTAAGTTCATTCATTATTTTTTATAGAATGTTTCTGGAATTTTAGCAAAGTACTTACTATATCAGATTTGTGATTACACTTGTTTTCACTGCAGAACAGTTTCTAACAATCTTTTGCAAATAACTTTAATTTAGGTAATATAAAAAATGTCATTATCTTTGAGCATGTGGATTTGAGGAGCTCTGGTAGCATAGTGTACACTGTGCATCAGGCTGTGTGGAATTTATCTTTCGATATTGCTTTCCTAGCCGTAGATTGACTTTGCTATGTAGATGGGCAGGAATATGTGAATGGGATATGTTACCCTATTCCTCTGTGGATTGGCTATTTACCAATCTGTAAGAGGATTGGCTAGTCTCACAATCCCCGTAAATAATTAAGCAGTTGAGAAGTAGAAGAATTTGACATTCTCTGCCTTGGGGGCGGCGGGGGGTGGTGAGAAGCAGCAGCAGCAAAAGAATGTAGGATACCTTTTATGACCAGACATTCTTGCTTCAGCTATACCTATGGCAGCAGCAGCCATGGTCAAACAAGAGAACTGATTGATATGAGAGGGGACATTGGGACTGTTACACCATTGGAACAAGAGCTAAGAGTCTTTGCCAAAGTTTGTTGGACAATTGGGGGTGAGAGGCCATAATTCACAGGACTGAGGACTTTATAACACTGGCTAAAACTGAATGGGTTGAGGGAGCCAATATTGGGAGGATAGAGAATTTTATAACACTGGTCTAAAGCTGTGAGACTCAAGGCTGAGGTGTCTGCCTGCGTACAGCTTTCCTGCTGTATTCAGCTACTAATCTGGATTATAATATTTTTATTTCCTCAGCCTGGTTCTGTGTAGTCTGTGAGCTATCCCATCAGATTTTAGAGCCAGCAAAGCAGTAAGATTGGTGTTGAGATGAGTAGAAAGAGATAGGGGAGAATGAGGGACATGTCTGACCTCATGGGAATTGAGTTTGTGTTACTGATGCTGTTGAGAGGAACAGTATTTGTGAAGTTGGTAAAGATCAGACATGGCTGCCTCCACTTGGCCCTTGCTCTTTTTATGTGCTGATAATCAAAAGGTGTGACTTGACCAGCCACTTTGAGGGAAAAAGATGAGGTAGTTTCCTCCTTAAAATGGAAATCCCAGGGAGGCTGGCCAAGTGTCAGAAACTACACAAAGGCAGTGGGATTTAGTCATGTCAATTTAAGAGTCCTGAAGGCCATACCTCTCTCACAGTTTGAATCCATCATGGGAGAACGGTGAGCAGTCTCTTCTCCTCTGACTGACAGACTTGAAGGGCCAGCTGGAGGGTCAGTCATGAGTTGGTTCTTACCCAAAGGTAATGAGTTTGGGTTTTTTGAGAGTTGGCCATGAAGATTGGTGGTAGTTCTAGTATATCCACAGAACTCTTTCTGGAATGGCCCAGTAAAATATTTCTGAAAAATCAAAGTTACGCAAACCCATAAGAAGCACAGTTCTATTGCTGTTCATTTACTTGTGGATTTTATTTATTCATAAGTGTTGCTGATGTAATAGTTATTCAGGAATATACATGAATTTGCTAAAAATGGTTGTTTGTTGTGATGTAAACAAAGTGTCTCAGCTTAGGGTGAATATACCCTTTTGCTCATTTATTAATTTTTTTTTTTACATTTTCCTGTCATTTAAAACCAAGCAGCAACAACAAAAACATATTGTGTGTGGTCATGAGATTTCAGCATTTCTGAATTACTTTCCATTTAATCAATTTGTTAATAAGACAGAAACTCTTACTATAAATAAAATAAAATAAACTCTTATTTTTTTTATTAAATAAGAATAAAAACAACACAAACAAGAAAGTAAATTTATACACTTCATCTCTAAACTTTCTAATATAGTGAACAAAATTGCAGGGCAAATATGGCTTGGTAAATATTTATTACAGAATATGGCTAGATGATTTCCCAGGGAAGAAATTGCAAGGCCAAAAGAATTATAATTTTAATTTTAGAGGATATATTAGTATTAATTTACATAGCTTATTTAACTGAAACTAACTTGAGTAGTATTGTGTAATATTAAATTAGATGATATTAAGTATTTCATGAAATAATACTAAATTTTAAATAGTGTTTATTACTAAGTTAAATAATCTTAATATAAAACAAATAAACTAATGATGAACTTATTTTATGTAGGCCATAGTCAAAGTAACTACTATCATAAATTTTATTTATGCTATCTTTAATCAACATTTAAAATTTAAGCAATGGAACTCAACAACTACAGATGTGGGATTTTGTCTTGGCATATTGCTTCCTGACAAAGAAAGCATTGGCAAATGATCTAAGTTCTTTGTCCCTGGGAGATCCTGGAATGTGTGGTGTTCTAAACACTGAAAAAAGAAGCTTTGAAACCATTTCTTTGTGAAAATTATTTCTCATATTATAATTACATAAATTAGAGACACCATATATCTTAGTTGATCCTTCTTTCTCTTTTGTCCCTAATTGTACAAATTAGAAAACCGTTTAAAAAAGAACCTTTTTTCTTGTGATGGCCACTGGCAGAATTGGAACTAGAATTTGTGAATGTTATTAAGTATTTTCATATTTTTATTCTGATATATTCATTCTGGAAAAGTCAGTCTGGCCTCAAAAGAACTATTAAGTAATACACAGGTATTAAAATAAAATATGAAACAATTAATGAGTATAGAAGGCCCCCGGGTCACTAAGGGTTTTTGAGTTCTGGTGTTAGAAGAATACTGAATATCTTAACGACTATCAAAAGAACAAAATGTCTTGGAGAAGGTGCATTCAGAGTGTTTCTTAGAGGTAAGGATGGCGAAGCTTTGTCTCACATACTTTGGTCATGTTGCTAGAAGCAGATATTCCTTAGAAAAGGACATCTAGGAAATGTTGAAATTCAGCAAAAGAAAGGTAGACTCTCAAGCAATGGATTGACCCAATGAAGCAATGGGTTCAAGTATGTCAGAGATGAAGATTAGAGATGGCACAGAATAGAGCAGGGTTCATGTCTGTTGTCCATAGGGTTATTATGGGTCATACTCCATTCAACTGCACATGAAACTATCTGGTGACCTACTGGGTAAGGAGTTGTGCTGTCAGCTAAAGGAATGTGGTTCAAATCCACCAGGGTCACTGAAGAAAAAAAGATGGCAATCCCCTCGCCTGAGATTTACAGCCTCTGAAAACTCACTAGAGGGTCACCCATGAGTTGGTTCCCACTCCATGTTTTATTTGTTTTTGTACGTTGTTGGCTCCACCTTCCCCCTTTTTTTTAAGCCCAAGGACTCTGAAATATTTAGTTAATATCTGTTAACAAAATATTCTTCTTCTTTTTTTTTTTACTGGAAAATTTGCATGATAGGCAAGAAGCTATCTCTGGGGAAAATACCTGACAGATACAGGTTTTTAATTTTTAGTTGTTGTGGTTTTTTTTCTCTCTTAGTCTTTTCAACATCACTAACAAGGCCTTATAGTTTATACCCCAAAGGGAAAGTTTGTTGGTATGTATATAGTATTTAACCATTTTTCAAATTGGGCACTTCACTTATTTTTACAAATGAACAGTTAAGTGAACATTGCTTTCCAGAGATAAAAACACCAATATTAAATGAATTTTCTATCTACATCAAAAAGTTGCTTGAATTAGGACTTTAACTTTTTTGCATGAAGTATTACCCAAAACTTTTTTAAGGAGTAAGGACAGTAGAGAGATTCTTTCTGGTAAAAACTCAAAGATCTCTGTATAGGAGGGCCTATTCCTTAGGGAGGGACATGTTGCTAGGAAGTTTGGAGAGTCGAGTCGAAAAAGGAGAGGAAGACCCTCGACCAAGTGGATTGACACAGTGATTACCGCAATGGGTTCTAGTGTGTCAGGAAGTGTGAGGATGTCACAGGACAGACCAAGCAAGGCAGGGTTCAATGTTGTTCACAGGGTTTCTGCGAGTGGTACTCTACTCGACAGCACCTAGCAATAACAATTATCCAATCAATACAAAACATAAAGAAGAAAATCTCTGCTAGTGAGAATGTAGTTAATTATGAAATTATAGAAAGTGCCTGACAAGTTGTAAAAAAAATACTCATGTGAATCTTCTCCACCTGCACACCCACCCCGCCTCACGAGTGTCGATCTGTTTTAGACACATGATAGACTAATGGTTGGATAAGCATTAACAGGCATTAATGGATGTGTGCCTCTGCAATTAAATTTTCTTGTTTATCCTTTCCTTAAGCTTCCACACAACAATAAATAAGTGTGTGACTGGTGGAAGTCATGTCCCACTTTTTTTTTAAATCTTGGAGAGGTCAAGAGCCTCTATTTCCTGCTGGGGAGTGTCCTTTTCCCCTGCTTCACAAACAAAACCAGGATGTGATTGACTTAGGGAAAAAGAAAAAAAAAAAAAAAGAACAAAAAATCAAATTCTGGTTGTCTCTCCTGGAACTTGGGCCCAGCCCCGGCCAGTCCCACGCAGGCGTGGCCAGTAGGGGCAGGAAGGCTGGGCAGCGCCCCTGCGGGAAGAGCCCCCAGCTGTGCGCTCCCTGGGCCCACCCAATCTAGACCTTTCGGAGGTCCTTAGGGTCGACTTTCCGGAAACTTAAGCAAAAGGCCAGCGAGTTTAAACCTGTAGAACTCTGGGAAGGAAGAGCGCGCAGAAAGGACCCAGAGGCGGCAGCAGCCCTCGGGCCTGGGACCCCTGCGCGGGGGTCACGTCCTGCGCGGACTCGCGGCTTGCCGGGGTGGGCGAGGCACCGGAGTTACTTGGGGACGTGCTGTGGTTCCAGACCTTGCAGCCGCTCAGGTTCCCCAGCTGCCCCTCCCTCCAGTTCTTGGGTTGAAAATGCCTGCCCTTCACATTGAAGATTTGCCAGAGAAGGAGAAACTGAAGCTCGAAGTAGAACAACTCCGCAAAGAAGTAAAGTTGCAGAGACAACAGGTAAGTTCGTTCTGCAATCGTGGCTCTGTTGAAATGGACCAGGGTCTGACTTGTTCCAAGAAAACTCTTAAGGAATGCTCGGGCGGTGCCTGGAAACTGCCGTTTGCTGGAGTTGGGAGGAATTTTACAGAGTGAGGGAAAGCAAATGACCTCAAATTAAAACAGCAAGAATAGAGCAAATGCGCATCCAAAAAACCATGCCTTCTATTAGACTATGTTTTTAAAACTCCTTTATGAGGGATGCAAACTATGATGGACTTAATTAGCGACAGTCAGTTTATACAGGAAAAATATGCTGAAATGGCAACTGTTTTGCTCTTTATACCTTTAACATAATTTTTAAAATGACTCAGCTGTGAGGTGGGGGTGAGAAAATAGTTAACTACTTACGTTTGGTATTTTTTTAAAAAACCTTTATTATTTTTAAAATGCTATTTTAACTGTTTTAAAGCCACATTTTAAAGTCTAAAACGATGCCAGTTTTTAATTTTGCTAGTGAAGTGTTCCACTGGGCCTAGAGAACACAGCATTAGAATTTCTGTTATTATTTATTATAAATCATATCTCTTTGTAATTCCTGGTTTAATTATGTTTTATAAGCATATATATTGAGACTGTCATATCTATAGTGATTTATAAGTAAAATAATTATACACGTGTTGAGGTGCACCAGAAAATACTTTTTTGGTGATTAAAACTTAGAAAGCACTTAGTTGGGTGACAGATTTCATGAGAGTATATGTCCTGGTATTAATATGTCTCCACTGAAATGTTTTGGCATTTCTATAGCTTTTACTTTAGCTTCTTCCTAGTAATGGGAATTATCCTTAAGACACTAGTTTTCTGCCTGTTTTTAATTAATCAGACAATCTGCCCAAACCCAAATTGCTGTTAATTCCAATTCATGGCGACCCTCTATAGGGTTTTGGCTGTAAATACTAACAAGGGGAGGACTGCTTTGTCTTTCTCCTGAGAAGCTGTTGTTGGTTTCAAACCCACAAGCCAGTAGCTCCACACAACCCACTAAGCCACCAGGTCTCCCTCACGGAACCTGTAGCCTAAGGATAAGCTTTTGGGTAGACCGGGAGAAAGGTGAGCCACATACTCCAAACAAAGGTTTGCAGCCTCTGGAAAACCTGCTCAGGTGTGAGTCACTTCCAGCTCAAAGGCAATGAGTTTGAAGGTTTTATTAAAGTTTTTCAAGAGAGTTCTACCATCTGTCCTTCACAGCCAGAAAACTTTAATTTTCTTTTTCTATGCACTAGAAAAAAATCAAGGAAAATAATCTAAAAGAAGCAAGTATTTTAAATACGCTGGCTTGCCTTCCTGCTGTAGTTATCATGGTAAACCCTTTAATAGTCAAGATCTTGGTCTCCTTTCTTGTTATCAAAATGCACATTTGGTGTAATGATTTGAGGGTGCAAATTTTTCTAAATTTCTACTTTATACTCATATCTTTTCTAAGTTTTTAAGTACCAGGCTGCTAACCAAAAGGTTTGTATCTACCAGGCACTTCAGAAGAAAAAGATGGATTGTCTTGTAAGGATTTACAGCTTCTGAAATTTGGGGGAGCATTACTTTGAGTCAAAATTGACTTGTATGTACCATGATTTCTCTCAATCCAGTCAGTTATGATTGGACATTTGGGCTATTTCCATGTTCTTACAATGGTGAATAACGATGTTATGAACATCTGTGTACAAATTTCCATTTGTGTCTCAGTTCTAATTTCCTCTTGGGTATATTCCTAGTAGTGGAATAGGTACATACACATGATGGAATACTATGCAGCACTCAGCAGCAATGATTTAAAAAAAATACTGCATAACTTGGAAGAGAATGGAGAACATTATGCTGAATGAACTAATTCATTCTTATAAGTACAAAATACTGCATAAGACCATTATTGTAAAAGAGGAACAATAACTAGTAAGACGTGTATGAGGATCCAAGGAGGGAAGGGGTGGGAACAGAGGGGTGAGGATAGGTACTGGTGAAATCATAGGGTGGCACAATTTTGAGGGTGGAGAGAGGAGGTAAAGGAAAGGGGAAAGATACAGTGGGGACTTGAAAAGACAGGTTAATAGTGGGCATAGTCCAATGGTGATTAATTTTATAAAACACAATGTATGGGACTGATTGGATAAAACAATGTCCATGAAGGAAAGTATGAGGGAAAATAGTTTTTAATAAAAAAAGAAAAAAATTAACTTGACAATGGACTTAGTTTGGGCAGGGTTTTTTCTCACAGTTTTAACCTTTACTTCCATATCCCTGCTTTTTCTAGAACTTGGAGTATATTTTCTGTCTCTCAGTGTTGAGGGCTTTGTAGCTCTAAAAACTTTCATTAAAATCTCTCAATTTCTTAAAAAAGAGTGTTTAAATGTGGGAAGAAGTCACAAGGAACCAATGAATAGACTCATTTTCTGAAACTTTAAGAACCACATTTCATGGATCGCAAAGTCCACAGCATAGCCTATATTAGCCACTAGGATTTTTTCCCACACAAATAACTTTACATGTTACATGTTAAACAGTTTCCTGTATTGAAGTACAGCCATGACCTTATTGAAACGTTAAATATCATTGTGTGTACTAGCACACAATTCATGTTGTTGTTATTGTGTACCATCGAGTCACACATAGGAAGAAACAAATGCCTGGGAAGGAAAAAGAGAGAGTGAGAAATGTCTTCTGCTTAAGATTCACATTAGATATTAGGCAGGCCTTAGATGTAGCTGACTATGTGGAAATGAAAATAATCATTCTAGCATGATGTTCCTGCCAGCCACCCTTCGGACTCATTCTGCTGCATCAGCTTTCTAACTCCAAAAACCCAAGTGGTTTTCTGCCAAAGGGGGAGAAACCTTCAGAGAGATCCTTACAGACTAAAGGGTCAGACTTATATAATGGTAGTCAAGCACTTTATTATGCCCTGTGGACAACAGAGGGTTAATGGTAAGCAGGATTTGGATTCAGAGATGACTCAATTTCCTAACACTAAAGATTGGGATGGGGGGAGGGCGGGCAACCAAAACCAAAACCCCAGGGAGACTAGCTAGTTCCTCATGTAAGACCACAGAAACAGTGATCAGTCAAATGCTGATAGTCAGGTCTCGTGATAACTGGCCGGTCGTTCTGTTAATAGATTATGGATGTTAGAGCTATGGTCTCAGACCAAGGAGAGCATTTTCTTAGGCTCATTTTTGCCTTCAGATAATTTCTTGTATATTCTCTTTATTAGAGCTCTGGTGGCCTAATGGTGCTGCAATCCTGAACGCACAACAGTTCGAGGCCATCAGCAGCTCCGTGCGAGATTAACTCCTCCTGTCTGATTAACTGCATCTGAAAACCCACTGGAGTGTCAGCTGTGGGTTGGTTCCGACTCTATGGTACACAACAACAACAACATCTTTATCACGAAAGGCAGTGTGTCAGAGTAGGGAGCTCTGGTAGCCTAGTTTCTAGGGAGGTGAACTAAAAACCTAAAGGGAAAAAAAAAAACACCTAAAGGAAGCCAGTTTAAATCCACCAGCAACTCTGTGGAAGAAAGACGGGCAACCTACTCCCCTGTAGCTTCTGAAAACCAATTGGAAGGTCAGTTCTGAGTCAATTCCACTTCAACAGTAAGAGTTGAGTGGGTGTTCGTTTTTGAAGGTTAAAGACCTCTTTGCAAACCTGATGGAGCCTTTGCAAACACAGACACAATTTAGCAACATGACTGTAACCCACAAATATGGGCCTGACCACAGGCTGCAGGTTATGGAGGCTTGCCTTGCATCACTGGGTCTGGGGATTTACCTAAAATATGCCCACTGTGAATGTCAATTCCTTAGACAGTTAGCTGAAAGCCTATTTTTATATTTTGCCATTTTTTTTAAATTTATTTTTTTATTTTGCCATTTTTAAGCCATAAAATTATATCACCTGTTTTAAGCTGTGCATCAGTGACCTGCACTTTGTTAACATAAACAATCCTTTGAGATGTAAGAGTGAAATACCATACTTTCTATTTTTATTTCATTTTAAGTCTCATTCTTTTATAATTTCTAGTTTATTTTTTAAAATTATACATAATATATTAACACAAGGGTATTCATAGTTATTATTCAGAAGTAAATACTGGACACATTTGAGATGCATACAAAAACTTCCTAGTAATCTTTATTAAAAATAGTTTTTAGGTAACTGATCTTTAAAATTGAGATGACAAATTTATTAGGAAGACATTATTCTTAAAAAGAGGTCTCCATTGAATTTTGTTACTTTTTCTTTAATTATTATTTTAATAATGGGAAGGTAAATGTTTCAAACCCACCAGCCACTCTTGGGAAGAAAGATAGGCAGTCTACCCCCAAAAAAAGATTTGCATCCTCAGAAACCCAGTGCACTGGAGTCAAATTGACTTGAGGGCAGAAGATTTGGTTTCCGTTTAATGTAGACGTAGGAACTCTGGTGGGCCCTGTAGGTTAAGCGATGAGCTGTTAACTGAAAGGTTTGAACACACCAACTATTTATCAGGAGAGAACTGAGGCAATTAGTTGCCTGTAAAGAGTCACAGCTCCAGAAACCCTTTGGGGCAATTCTTTTCTCTTCTGTAGAGGCATCATAGACTCGGCAATATTGGATTAAATGTAGGCCTTATTAAGACATTTTGTCCGCTTTTATTTTAGTTCCTCATTCTTACACTGTTCTAATGATAGACTTTCTGAAGAAACTATTCAACCCCATGCAGAGGTTCTACTATGTAATCCGTGGGGTTACCGTGAGCTGACTATGACTCAGTGACATAAGATTTGAGTGTTTTGATTTTCAATCCTTACTTTGCAGAAAATGTGTAATCTGTTTACAGAAACACAGCGATCTTAAATCAGCCCACTAATGCTCAGATAAGTCCTTCACTGTGATCTTTGCTTTCTGCAGTGGGCAGGAGTCTGACGCAGCAGCTCGGGAGCTGGTGTCTTTCCAGAGTCCTGCTTTACCCAGTGATCCTGTCATTTTCAATCCAGCAATATGGTTCACACCCGTAGTAATGAGCATGTTGTCCAAACACACCCAAAACTTTTGGGAATTATCTATGTCTACACCTGTTTATTAGCATGGAAAACTGCAAGTGAGGGAGTACTTTAGTTTCTAAATAGTATTGATAGATCACAATTACATTTTAGGAGAGAAAGGAAATCTTACAGCACAATGGAGAGAAAATGATAGGGAATTGTCTAGATAATGTAATGGCTTTCAAACCATTTGATCCTGACTAATAATAAGAAATGTATTTTACATAGATTATGCCAACTCTCACCTAATTAATTCTCTCTATCTCTTTTTCATTCTTCTTTAAGGTGTCTAAATGTTCTGAAGAAATAAAGAACTATATTGAAGAACGTTCTGGAGAGGATCCTCTGGTTAAAGGAATCCCAGAAGACAAGAATCCCTTTAAAGAAAAAGGCAGCTGTGTTATTTCATAAATAACTCTAGGGAGAAACTTCCTTCACTATGGAAGAAATAATTGTTTTAGATTTTCCAAATGAAGCTGACATGCCTTTTAAGGAGTGGAAATAAAAAAAAAAGGAAACTTAAATGAGAATTTAAGCACTCAATAGATATAGTTACATTTAAAACTTCTGTGCTTGTCATCTTTGCTCACTGCACACCCTTTTTTGAAGAGGGCAGAGCCTATCAAATGTACAATTAGGGAAGGAAGTCCATTACTTGTGCGTGACTCACCTCTTTCAGTGTATTTGCTTGATGCTTCAAATAAAGTTTTATCTCTGGAAAATGAGTGTTGTTGATTTAAGAAGGCAGTGTTCATGCACTAAGTTTTATGCTTTTTCCAGTCGCCTTTTGGATCTAATCAGTAGATGAGATGGTTTGTTAGCTAAAGTCTCAAATTCAACTTTCTTTGCTTTAAGTCTCACTGGATTTCCAGTGCCAAGTTCATACTGCTGGAATGTGTGGGATTTAACTCGACCATTAGGAACTAAGAGACTAGAATTTCTAAGAATAACACTGACAGGAGTTAAATTATCTGAGTCAGGCACCAAGCCAAGCCACGTCTACATTGGCATTTCCCTGGTTTACCATCATTCAGTGTCCTGTTTAAAATGTTACTGCAAGAGTGGTCTTTGGGAAAAGGGCCAGCCCAACAAGTAGGAGTCAGATGATGTCCTGTCTCCCTGCAACACAGTGACCCAGCCAGTCCCAGTTTTTGGACTTGCTGATGGGGGTTGTAGCTGATGTATTCCAGTTGGCACAGGTGCTTAGCTTTCTGAATTTCTTTCACCAGTCTTTTCCCAAAGGCTGTAGACAAGACAGCTCTTTCCATCTCATCCCACAGGAGCCAGGAAAACAGTAGGGAACCACAGAGCACCAGTGGTTTTTAGCCCATGGGTGCCACATGCCTGCATACTGTGCCTGTTTAGATCCTTTAGGATGTGTCTGCAGCTGCAGCTTTGAAAATGGGGACCTTTATACATTGCCTCACTGCTAAACTTGACTAGCTTTAAAAAAATAGGGGCCTTACAGGGAGTGCTTAGTCCCCATTCCATTCTCTTAGATGTAGATTGCTCCAGATTTGAGAAAAAATGCAAAACAAGTAAAACCCTTGCAGCCTAGCTGTACCTCAAATGATGTTGTCCAGCAGTTGTGAATGTGGCATTTGAATTACATTTAGGCACTGTTAACCCAGGTTTTTTACTAGATCATTTCTCCATTTTAGCGATGTGTTGCTGTTAGGTACCATCAAGTACAATACAACTCATAGCGACCCTATGAACTGTGGATCTAAACCCTGTCCTATCCTGTGCCACCTTCTCACTTCCTGACACACTAAAGCCCATTGTAGCCATCACCATGACAATCCACCTGGTCGAGGGTCTTCCTCTCCTTCGCTGACCCTCTACCCTTCTAAGCATCATCTCCCTTACCAAGGAATAGCCCCTTCTGGAAACATGCCTAAAGTCTCATCAACCTTACCTCCAAAGAGCATTCTGGCTGCACCTTCTCCAAGACATATATATTCATTCTTTCGGCCATCCATGGAATGGTCAGTGCTCTTAAACATCACAGCTCAAACGCATCAATTCTTTTGCTGTCATCCTTATTCATTGTCCAGGTTTCGGATGTATAGTGAAGACCATGGCCTGAATCAGATGCACTTTAGTCCTCAAACTGACATCATTACTCCTCAATAATTTGGAGAGGTCTCTAACTGCAAGATTTCCCAGTATAATGCATCCCCTTATTTCCTGGCTGCTGGTATCAAGGGTGTAAATTATGGATCCAAGTAAGATGAAGTTGTTGATAGTTTCAATCTCTTCTCCGCCCACCATAACACTGCCTATTGGTCCAGTGGTGAGAATCTTTATTTTCTTGATATTGAGATGCAATTCATATTGAAGGCTGCATTCTTTGATCTTCAACAACAAGTGCTTCAACTCCTCACCTTCAGCAAGAAAGGTTATGTTTTCTGCATAACACAGGTTATTGATGAGTCTGCCTCTGATCCTTAGTAGTATAGGTACCAGTCAAGTTGCTGAGACTCAGTGTGTTATGGCTATCTCCTCTGGCACAATTTATTCTAAAGGATATTTCATCTCCATTGAGTAGAATTTGTTTTTTAGTCAGAATTGATTGGGCATATCTGTGTGGATCTGTGTCCAGATAATTGGTCAGTTCCGTTGATTTATATGCCTATCTGTATGTCCTTCAAGTTTCAGCACCATATCTAAACAAAGACATCAAAGAGAGTGATTTTGACCACTTTTTTCTTATTCAAATTTTTTTTGCATGGTCTTCCACTTTGCACCTACATTTTAGAGGAAGCTTGTCCATGTCTGCAAAGAAACTTGACAAGATTTTGACAGATATTAAGTTAAACTTGTAGATCAATTTGCTAAGACTTAACCTCTTTATCGGGCAGTGTTCCAATTAGGGAAATATAATGCCTTTCCAAAAATATTTAAGTCTTTTTTATTAGCATCTTGTCATTTTATTATACATGTCCTGCACATTTCATTAGCTTTATATTTAAATATTTCCTTTCCTTTGAGGAAAAAAATTGTTTATAATTGTTATTTGCTGTTGAGTCAACCATGACCATAGCGACCCTAGAACAATGGCTCTGAACTTTGCCCAATCATGAGCCAACCTCACCGTTTCAGACACACTTGACCTCATTGCCACAGTCAAGATGCTAATCCATCTCATCTAGGATTTTCTTCTCATGCACTGACCCTCTACCCTTTCAAGCATGATGTCCTTCTCCAGGGACTGGTCCCTTCTGGTGACAGGCCCAAAGTACATAAGACAGAGCTTCAAAACCCTTGCCTCCGACGAGTAAGCTGGTTTCACTTTCTCCAGGTTAGATGTACTTGTTCTCTTGGCAGTCCATGGCATGTTCGGTACACTTCTCCAGCACCACAACTCAAAGGTATCAATTCTTTTGTCATCCTCAGACCTTGCATTTTTAATTTAATTTTGTCATTTTAAAAAATTGTAATCTCCTTTTATGTCAATCTTGTATATTACAATTATACTGAATTTATAATTGTACTGAAGTTTTCTTGTTCCAAGTTCCTTGAAGTTTTCTTCATAATTATCTATGAGTGGAAACAACTTAGTCTTTTTCCTTTTCATAACTGTGGTGCTGGAGAAGAGTATTGAGAGCACCATGGACTGCTAGGAAAACAAACAGATTCATCCTGGAGAGGGTTAAACTGAGAGGCTCCTTGGAGGCAAGGATTCTGAGGCTCCGTCTAACATACTTTGGACATGTTGTGAGGAGAGACCGGTCCTTAGAGAGGGACATCATGCTTGGGAGGGTGGAGGAACAGCGCAGGAGGGGAAGGCCCTCTATGAGGTGGATTGATTCCGTGACTGGGATAATCAGGATGGGAGTGTCAGAGACAGTGCGATTGGCACAGGACAGATCAGAGTTTAGGGCTGTTGTACATAGGGTCGCTATAAGTCACAGGCGACCCTACGGCACATAACAACAATAACAACACACACACACACACACACACACACACATATATATATATATATATTAAGCATGATGCTATCATTGACTGGACTTTAATTCTAATCACAGTTTGGCTTTCTGAGTCCTTACAATGTTACTCAGACCTGCTTTGTTCTACAGATGATGTTGGTGCTCCTACTTCAATCCCTTCAGATGTCATCTGTACGCATGTAAGGAATATTAAGAAAATCTAGACTAGAGGTTGGAAAACTATAGCCTGTGGGCCATTTAACTTTTAGAAATTAAGTTTTACTGGAACACAGCCCTACCCACTCTTGTGCATGGTGTCTTCTGGCCACTCTCACACTACAGCACAAAGAGTAGTTTTGACAGAGACTGCATTGCATAACAAGGACTTTTCTTCACTAAAATTAGTCAAAACCCAGAAGAATTATTTAAGATACATATAAGGAGGCCAAGTATAATGATCCCATGACTCAAAATTGGTATCTTATTTTGTACAAAGAAGCAAAATACAGAATTTTACACCATAAAATTTTGTTGTGAAATTATACAAATATAGATCTTTATTTCCATGAAACAAGCACATTCTGTTCTCCGTAATCCCATATAACACCAGATTATATTTTAAAGGTTTTGTCATATTTATTGATACGCTGCATGCGCAGTAAACATATAAACTGTAAACAGAAGCACACACTAATTGTGTTTTGAGCTAATTATTGCTTACATATAATTTAAAATAAACCCAAATCCACTTCTGTCAGGTTGATTTTAATTCATGGTCACCTTCCATCAATTGTCTGAGTCAGTCAATCATACTGGGAGAAGAACACTTCATTTTTATTCTGTAGAGAGGCTACTGGTAGAGTTGAACTGCTAACCTTTCTGTTAGCAGTCCTCCATTTAGCCTACTACACCACCTACTGTGGGGCCCTATTCTACTATAAAGGCAGCCACTAATAATCGGAATTTTCAACTTGTTAGTAATTTAGACATTTGAGAACTATTCATTCTTATTTGATTCAATAAATGAACCATGTACCTCTAAACATGACATTTAATAGGCAAGTTCAGCCAATATTTTCCCTACATTCTAGGAATTGACAGTCAAATCAAACAGCAGTAGCATTTAAAAAGTCAGATAAACTAAATATACAATGCCAGTGGGTTAGATGTTTAAGACAAGGAGGGGTAATAAGTGAACGATTAGACTTAAGACTATAATTTCATGGAAGCTGTTAAGGCAGTAGTTTAAATAATAAAAAGGAAGATATAAAGTAGTAAAGGAAAAGAGAGAAATTTCACCACTACACAATAGTTTGGCAGATCAAAAGACCATCCATCAAATTTATGCAACAAGAAAGTAAAGTATCTGCTGAAATTGAGTGCACTGTCTTTAGTAAAAGTCCTTTGAAATGTTGGCTATATTGTCAGATTTGTTGAGTAACAAATTCCTCCAAACTCAATGGCTTAAAAATA